ACATACCGGGCAAGGACAACTACATTGCCGATTTCATATCACGGGGGAGATATCTACCGACGGAATGGATGCTCCACCCCGTGATAACGAGACACATCTTCAATCGATTTGGCCAGCCGTCTGTCGACCTATTTGCTTCGGAACTGAACAGACAATTACAAACATATTGCACAAAACACAGGGACCCCAAGGCCCTGGCAACAGATGCGTTCTCGATCCCGTGGAACAACGTTCTCAGCTACGCTTTTCCTCCCTTTGCAATCATCACAAGGGTACTGACCAAAGTCCGGGAGGAGAATGCCACCACCCTCCTAATCGCCCCATGGTGGCCCCGTCGACCATGGTTTCCAACTCTGGTGAACCTTCTGAACGATTACCCAGTAATCCTACCAGACAGAAAGGACATACTGAGACAACCGGGGACAACACAGTACTACCCGAACCCTTCGAGACTGAAACTAACACTCTGGCCAATTACAGGGCAACAGCACTTGCGGCGGGACTTTCTGAAAGGGCTGCCGATCTTACAGCACAGTGCCTCCGAGAGTCAACTAGATCCACCTATGATTCAAGACTTCTGCACTACATCAGATGGTGCCGGGAATCAGAGATTGATCCACCCAAAGTATCTTTAGGTGAACTAGCTGAATTCCTTATCTCTCTTTATGACAAGGGTCTTTCACTTAACACTATTCGTGGCTATAGGTCAGCCATAGCTGTTATTCACAAAGGGTTTTCGAACGGCGAATCTGTATCCTCATCTATCATGCTGACAAGGTTAATGAAATCATTTTTTCTTACTAGACCCAGTAAGAAGACGTTGTCTCCTGCCTGGAGTCTCCCCAAGGTACTCCAAACTCTTAGTAGGGCCCCATATGAGCCCCTACACAAAGCTTCTCTTAAAGACCTTACGATCAAGACAGTTTTTCTCCTGACAACAGCTTCTGGTCAACGTCGCAGTTCTGTCCATGCACTTACCACCAGCTCAGGTCACATACGCTGGGAGAAGAACAAAGTAAGGCTCCTCCCACATGCACGCTTCTTAGCCAAAAACCAACGTGAGTCATCCCAGCCCCTGGAGATTGTTCTTCCTTCCATACAGTCCCTCTCCTCCATCGCTGAAGATAAACTGTGGTGTCCAGTTAGAGCTCTAAAGTGGTACATAAACAGGACACAGAACTTACGGTCATCAGAGCAACTTTTCGTTAGTTGTCTACCACCACATAAAGCTGTCTCTCGTGATACCATCTCTCGTTGGATTGTGTCGGCTATCAAATCAGCGGGCCAGGTTGCCCTCTTTTCTGACAGAATTCGAGCACATGACACAAGGGGCCTTGCTGCCTCATGGGCCCTCTTCAACGGTGCCTCCATGGAGGACATACTCAACGCTGCATACTGGTCAAGTTCAAACACCTTTACGGCATGCTACCTGTCCGATGTACTTCAGACTGAGACTGAGTTTGCAAGGGCAGTGCTGTCTTGCTCAAGATCTTAAATTGGGTAAGGAATTCACACGATGACTTATTTATGTTTTGGTCCATCATCTATCTGTGTTCCCTTCCTCCCATAGTTAACATGTGGTAATCTAGCATTAATGGTATAGGTAAGTATGGCGTAGTCTGCCGTAGATTTGTATTTTCAGTAGTGAAAATCATATCTACTAAGTAGCCATACTTACCTATACCAAACCCGCCCTCCTTCCCCTTGAGTTAGATGATGGCGTAACAGGCGCCTTGGAAAGAGGAAGTGTTATTGGCGCGGGGCCTTATATACTACTAACGGTAGGGGTTTCCTGCACTGACTCCGACGGAGTATGACGTCACAAAAAGACTTAGTCTGTGTTTACAGACTCTTTTTTGTGTTTTTCTCTAAGGAGAAAACCTTTGCCGGTAAATAGCGGGTAAAGTAAGGGAATAGCATTAATGGTATAGGTAAGTATGGCTACTTAGTAGATATGATTTTCACTACTGAAAATACAATTTTGAGAAGTGCCCCAAGGGAGAAGGCAATTAGGAGATAAACAGAAATTCATTATATTTTTGTTCACAAGGAACGGGAGAGTTGTTTGTGTCTACGTCCCAATCCACAGAACATACTGCCAATTTGAGATTCATACTCATTTAGTGATCTCATATTTCAAAAATTCATTATTATCTTATTATTGATCCAATTTAATTATTTCAAATTTCCACCATTTTGTTTTATCTTATTTTTCTGCATTCAACAAACTTATTGCAAGGGTTGGATTTCTCTTAAATGAAAACTCAACATATGCATTGACTTGTATCTCACTGAAAATAACCATTCGCATTATCATTCAATGTTTTTTTTTTTTTTTTTTTTTTTCTTTCTGTTTTTATTGTTTTTTCTGAAAAATTAACAGAGTAAAAGCAGCAATATAAAATATAATATCATCTTAAAACTACAAAACAGGCACGCACTCATGCACCCATAAACACGCACACACACACACACACACACACTCACACTCATATACTTTCCCAGAGGGCAAGTTTACAGTTCAAAAAGCCAATGAAGATGTTAATGACAACAGAGCTTTGCAAGACTACTCCTAAATTTCAGTTAAACTTGATAGACCATTTCTTAAAATGGACTTGTAACTTATTTTTCTTTTGGGCAATTTTATATTCTATTTTTTGTTTGAACTTTACCATTGAAACAAATGCTTCGAAAATAATCATTCAGTGTTTTGATGTTGCAGCGCTGAAATAAATATTCGAAAAATTAGTAATTTATCTTCATTCTTATTTTGTTTGCACCTGTCTTTATGTCTACAGTGGTTATTATCTTGTGTGAAGAAATTTAATGTATTATGTCAGGACAGCATTATTGTTGATATGAATTATTAAATGCATCTTAATTCATCATCACATCGTCACCATCTTATCATCATTGTCGTCATATAACGATTATTTGGCAAATCAGCATTTACAATGTACACATAATGCCAACATATACTATAATTAATTGGGAGAAGTTGAGAAGAAAAGAAAGTAAAGAGAGCAGAGAGAGAGAGAGAGAGAGAGAGGGAGTGAGAGACAGAGACAGAAAGGAAGAAAATGGATGATGCATGTGAAGATTTAATTTTTCTTGACCTGATTCCGACCCCCCCCCCCCTATAACCACTGGCGTACTGGTGGGGGAGCTAGGGGGGCGCCAGCCCCCCCAAATAAAATTGAACCATGACTTATTTTCAATTCCATATACAAGTGATGTATAAATGTTCGTGATATCACATGATTTTCAACAAAATGCTCGTTTCTCCATTTGAGTTGCAAACTGACACATTCCCAAATGGCCAGGAATTAAGAGCATATGTTTTTTTATAGTCACTAAGGGGCCGTGGCCCTAACAGTAACACTAGTAAAAAAATCCTTTCCAGAAGCAACTGTAACACTGCACATGTACCGTTAAAGGTACTATGTCCCTTTTGCAGCCAACCTCAAATGCTGTAGAACTTTGCAGGAATTATGAATATGTCATGTATGTCCTATCTGTGAAATTTAAACGTTAGCAGTGTCCTCATATTCAAATTATGCAAGGAAAACCGTATACTTGCTAGACTTCAATGTCAGACAGTATTGAGTGACTGACTGGCTTTTTTTTTCTTATTTGGTAATAACATACATGAAAAGAGTTGTAAAGGGTACATGAGCATTTGTCTACATCAATAACCCACTTCTTGTGATGGCCAAGATTAAACTGATTCAATCTTTGCGCAGCATAAAACGTATGACCATTCGGTACAATTGTCTGAAAATCAAGACTATTACTTTTGGGCTCTATAGCCCTAAAGTCGATTTGACAACTAATGGTCGTTATTTTCCCACTTGAAGACATTTTCAAGCCCCACCTTTTTTAGGGAAGTTCTAAATTAGTATTATCTTTCAAATGCAGTTGGAATTTAACTTTTTCATTTTTTTGGCCTGCAAATGGGACATAGTCCCTTTAAGGGGCCCAGTGGGGAAATTGAATTCAGACAAGATTAAGAGTATAGTGAACGGTACAGCGAATCGTCTTCTTTCTCTAATAATTTAATGAAACGGCAAAGCTTCCGCGCTTCGGGGGGGGGGGAACTGAATTCAGACTAGGATTAAGAGTCGGAACCGGTACAATGAATCGTCTTCTTTCTCTTATAATTTAATGAAATGTCAAAGCTTCCGGGCTTCGGGCGGGAGGGGGGGGGGAACTGAATTCAGACAAGAACACGATACAACGAATCGTCTTCTTTCTCTAATAATTTAATGAAACGTGAAAGCTCCCGCGCTTCGCGCGAGATGGTCTAAAATGAATTCAGACAATCATTAAGAGTTATTTTGTATTGAAACGTCCAAACTGCCGCGCTTCCCGCTGGAGGAGTTGGGGGGGGGGGGAACTGGATCCAAACAAGAATTAAGAGTCGAGGACGGTACAACGGATCGTCTTCTTTCTCTAATAATTTAATGAAATGTCAAAGTTTCCGCGCTTCGCGCGGGAGGGGGGAGACTGAAAAATAACTTAGTTACTGGCACCGGGTTTATAGGGTTAAATTTATAAACCTTTGGACATTGGCAAATTTGTCGGTAATTGGTTGCTCGTTTTGTCTGTAATCGGTGGCATCTATCCCCTCCCCACTCCCCCACTGACAAAGATCTAGCGACGCCCCTGATAACGACACAGTTTATACACTCGACCACACTTTGCGAAACGTTCAGCGGGGCCTGCATGTTAGTGTAGGGTGCTGCGGATTTTTTTTTTTGTCAGCCCCCCCAAACGTTTTTGCTCATTACGCCACTGCCTATAACGATGCCCTTTACATGTGTTTATATTATATATATACTGGTATTGAATTTCTTTCGGTCTAAGGCTTTGGTGGGGGAAGGGGGAGGGGGATCAAGGTTATGTAAGCATGATGCGATGGACTGGAAGATGTGAAGGGAATCTCCCTGAAACACCGCATTATATTTATAGATGATGTCATCGATACGTCATATATAGACACGTCACTCAATCATTAAACAGGGAACTCGATTTATTACCCGTAGACGTCGTTGACCTGCGCCTTGGCGCCTGTGTTTCATATTGTCATTTGTGTCTTTGACATTAGAAATGAGCCAGCCTGAAAGAGGAACGATTGTTGAAGGTATAGGGGATGAGTTCTTTCAAATCCTTGGTTTAATCATCGTAGTTGCAGTGCCTTTTTTAGTCGCCTATCGAAACAGGTACGTATGGTGGAGTTACGGGCAACCGGGATGAAACTCACCCCCGATGGTTCGGGTGATGGCGATGGCATAGTTCCGCTCACTTGTACTTACACAAATTTGAACGTATGGGATAGCCTGAAGTCAAGGGCCAGGGCTAGGTTATGATATTAAGAGATATTATTTTGATATCACCTAGCAGTAAAATACAATCAATTCAACTCACCGATGTTGGGAAAATTACTCTGAAAATTTAATTTGGAAATCTATTGTCAATCCTGGACAAAATACGTCCTCAAAAATATGGATCGTCTGCATTTTCGCAGACGTTTTTTTTCATTGGCGCTCTGCAGGTTTCGGGATACCGATCCGCCCGCTGTCAATGCGGAAAATGGATTCGGCGTAAGAAAATAACCCTAGTTCACCGTCTACTTATATGGGTTGTCTGATTTCCCGAGGATTTATCGTTCATAATGTGAAAGTCTCTGTACAAAGTCAAAGTACAATTCATCAAGCCAATCATCAAGGAATTCTTTTTTTGCATCGCCAATGCACCGATCAGAAATATGAAACGTCTGCGAAAATGCAGACGATCTTTATTTTTTAGGACGTATCAGTCTGCGTTTACGAAAACGATCCTCCTTATTCTTGGACCAGCACCCCTTCTGGTGAGGAGCTAGTACTTGTTGTAGGAACCGCTTTGTATTCATTGTGATTGTTTACCTTTCTTGGTCGCTACAAAAAAAATAAAAGTGCAAGCACTGAATCCCTGATATACACAAATTTGGTGGTAAAATGCCTTGTTTATACCTTACTATGTGGGGCATACATAAAAACCCGTAATTTTTGCGTGGGCACGAAATGTAACGTAGGGACCGAGTTGTGGTGGTCGATTTTTGATTTGGGTAAATCATGTCTTTCATGAGATGAAAATAGACGGTTCGTAACCGCTAGTGAAGTAGGCCATGACCACAGAAGAAAATCAGCTACTTCTCTCCCAAGCAAGCCGGTCTAAATTGTGCTGAAGATCTTTCTGAACAGCAGGAGAGGATACTGTGTCGTAGGTGACAGTGTTATTTGCTAACAACCTGACGTGGGAAGAAAGCGGGTCCGGGATAATCATTGTTATAATATCCTGCATACTGAGAATCTTGCAATCTGATTGGTCTAAACGAGGCCACATGATCAACTCCCTGCGATAGTACTTTTGTACAGTATTTTTTTGCTGCTGCCCCACTTGTCCCTTGAAAGTAGGTTACGCAAAATGTCAGTGTTTTTGTTAAGGCCAAACTAGTACAAGTCAACGACGCTTAATTTTAAGCGTTGGAAAAGTCAAATGCTGGAGCTAAACTGTCTGCAGAATGAGAACACCGCAAGCGAAAACCTAGTTCTTTTAATTATGTAAAATTCACTTTGAATAGACATTGCCGATGTGGGATATTATAAAAAAAATATTAACCTCGTAGTCTGTTAATATTTTCTTAATATATATAAGGAGTAGTCAGGAACAGGGTCCTAAAACACTGCCTTGCAGAACCCCTGACTTGACATTGACATAGTCAGATCTAGCCCCATAGATGAAAAAGCAAAGCTAAGATGGAGTTTGGAGGTGCGTGCAAGGTATATACTGATCAACTCATTTAGACCCTACTGACTGTAGCTGACTATGAATTTATGTTTTGTTTATTTTTATGCTTTTCACTTCCAGGTTAAGATCAATTGCGACAGGGGCTATACACCCCGAGAGTGAAGCCCATGTCCAGCATACACGCACCCAGCTCCGCTATGGCAGACCCAATGCTGATGACCATGCTGCATCAGCCAATGGGCAAGCTACGGGGGAGTCAAACGGTCAACAAAACGGTGAGGGGCAGAGCAGCGATGGACGGCATGGCATGAGTGCCCAGCCATATAACGGAGATCGACCTTGCCCTATTTGCCTTGATGAGAAAGAATGTGCAGCTGAGACGAACTGTGGTCATGTGTTTTGTGGTAGGTTTCTGGGTTCTATAGATTCTATTGCAATTGTCATTTTTAAGTTCTAGCAATGGTTTAATGATAGAAAATTTGTTTGGATAATTTTGCCCCCCCCCCCAAACAAACAAACGAAAAGGAAGAGGAGAAAAGGAGACAAATAGAGAAAAGGAGAATGAAAAGATGAAGGGGGAATAAAGGAGGAAGGAAGGAAAGAATAAGAAGGAAAGAAAAGATAGACAAAGAGCTCAAGAACAGCATGATCTGTGATCACTATGATCACTATCTACAGTACAGAGAGAGAGAGGGAGAAAAAGAAAGAGAGACAGAGAGAGAGAGAGAGTGAGAGAGAGAGAAAGGGTGAGAGAGATAATCCTATTAAAGGAAAATCCGACCTTAGACAACTACTCTAAAAGAAAGCAGAAAAATCAGAGAAGCAGACTGGTGAAAATTTTAACGAAATTGGGCTAAACAAAATTATGAATTTTTAAAGCTTATCTGCCGTAGTTTACAGAAGGGATTAGACCGCTCTGCAAGGTCACTGGACAGGTGGTTATCTCATCAACTCAGCTCTCATTTAACATAAGAAAAAGAGGATCATGGGGGACCAATGGTCACCGATTAGGCATGGTTTGTTATATAGAGGGCGCAAGTAGCTACCAGTAGTGCGGTGGGCCTTTAAAAGGTGTAATCATTATACCGGTACATAGTATTACATACGGGTGCTTCAAATTGGCTGAATAGGTAATGTCACTGCGACAAAGTGCTTGACTACTTTCCCATTTGTTCTAACACTCAAAATGACTAAAAAAAAATTATGGCTAAGGAGGGTCTATTCTCTGTAGAGGACCCATAATAATATGCTATCCATAATATATTTTGAGTAGTTCCCCAAGGGAGAAGGCACTTAGAAGAAAAACAGATATTAATGATACTTTTTGTACACAACAAACGGGAGAGTTGTCAGTGACTTTGTCACAATCCACTGACCAATTTGCAAATTTGTGATTTTTTGAGATTTAGTGATCTCATATTCAAACGTGCAAACTCTCTTATTAAAGGGCAATCCAACTGTTGTAACGAGTTGATTTGTATGAAATCTGAAAAATTGAGATAATCACAATAGCGAAGGTTTGAAGTAAATTGGACCAATAATAAGAATGTTATGACTTATGAATGTTTGAAATATGAGATTACTGTCATTATTTTTAGTCAGATTTAATTCAAACTTTCATGATTCTGCTTCTCTATTTTTCTGCTTTCTTAATGTTTAAAGATAAACTTGAGTTCTGGTAAAAAAAAGAAAATGAATTCTCACAGAATCAAAGTAATGAGCATAGAAAGATAAGGAAATCAAGGTAAGTAGCCCCGACACCTTTTGTGTAGTCCTATATACACCTTTCTGTGTACAGCGCTTGTTACTTTACCTAGACTGGGCCAAATTTATTATGATTTTGATGACTCAAGAACCTTGCAGTACACACCAATACTTACATGCTACATGATCAACGTATTCTGATCCATTCAACACCTTTTCTTTCACAATGCAATCGCATGACCAGAACTCTACTTTATCTTTAATAGTACACATGTAGTTGTCTTTTAAGGTTGGATTACCCTTTAATAGTTGGATTTATTTCAAACTTTCGCCATTATGTTTCTTCTAATTTTCTGCTTTTATACAAATGAACTTGTTACAAATGATGGATTGCCTTTAAAGACTTGAGGATCAACTCTGTATTTTCACAATATGATGTGTTTCTTGTTTTTTACAAGGTAACTGTTTAATTGCATACTGGAGACACGGTACATGGCTTGGTGCTATAAGCTGCCCTGTGTGTAGACAAATGGTAAGCATTGAACCAAACTACCAGTAGTGTTTAGATAATGACAATTTTGTAAAAACATGAATAGGGATATTTTGTTTTTGTTTTGTTATTAGTATTATTTTTATTTTTATTATCATTTTTTTTCTTCTTCAAACTGCTATACTATCATTATTGTTGTTGATACTATAAACATTCATTATTATTATTTTCATTATTATTTCCCATGATTGCATGTCATGCTTTCTTCCAGGTAACAATCATCCTACCAGTCTTCCAAGAAGATGAACAGAATAGCGGTGAGGGGGGAAGAATTATGGCCGAAATCAGGGATTATAATCGAAGATTCTCAGGAGAGCCAAGACCGGTGAGTTGGTGGAGGAGATTTTCAAGATTCTGGCCGAAGTCTTGGTGAATACAATAGAAGAGCAAGCTTTGAAAGGCCAAGAATTGCATCCTGTAGTACCCTATATTTGCCTTATTCTTCATAGAGAAAATCACAACTAAAAATATATCATTATAGATCATGGTCCAATTTCATTTATTTATTTATTTATGCATGCTATACTATCATATCAAGAATATGATATCAAGTTTCAAGTTTCATTTTTACAATCCATTTGAATAGACTTCACATGAAAAAGAATATAACAAAGTTTTATCAAAGACAAGTTGCAACTATCATACAATTTAAAGAATGAACACACAAAGGTGATGAAATATAAGCATGCTATACTATCATATCAAGAATATGATATCAAGTTTCAAGTTTCATTTTTACAATCCATTTGAATAGACTTCACATGAAAAAGAATATAACAAAGTTTTATCAAAGACAAGTTGCAACTATCATACAATTTAAAGAATGAACACACAAAGGTGATGAAATATAAGCAAATAGAGCTTTAATCGTTACAACACCTTTCAGATATATTATATGGCAAATAAAATTTGTAAAGGGTTGTGAACTAAAGCTTGATGAAACTTGATAAAACTTGTTATCAATAACAAGTTACATATACCTTTTATAAGCTACTGAAATCATGACGTTTGATTGGCTTACAGCAAATTTGTAAAAGATATTAGGCATTTGTGAAACAGGGCCCAGTTGTTACAAGTGACTGATGATACTCATGCTGCATATGTTTTTGTTGTACCTGTATTGAAGTCAGAGGCTGATAAAAGCATTATCTAGGTCAAAACCACAACTAAATTGGTAGATTTATTTCATTGTTTTATATATCGCCAAGAGTCAACCTTTTCGTCCTGTCAAAATTACCATCCGGTTTGTAAATAAATAAACGAACATCATGTAAATATGACACATCATTTTCTCATATTTATTTATTGACTGATTTCATTTTGTCATAGTAATTTAATTTTGTATAGACTAAAGAGCTTGATGATGATCTCAGAAAAAAATTGGTTAAACCAGGGACTGGTTTCACAAAGCCTTTTTTTCAATGACAAATGACAAAAATCAGTGACAAATATGCTGATAACTAATCAGAAGCAAGGATTCCACTAGCTTATAACAAAAACTGTCATTTGTCACTAATGACTAGTTTTTGTGAAACGGGGCCCAGGTCCAAGTTTCCCACCTTTATGAATGAGCCAATGCCCATTGAAAGACATCAGAACTTTTTTGTTGTTGGTCATATCCCCAACTTCCTATTTCTTCTTCTCTCATTGCCGTTTTTAGTTTATGGACTACATCTACGATCTTCCAACCCTGCTACGTCATACGGCCCGTGACTTCTTCTCACTCCACGGGATCGTCTGGATGTTCCGTCTGAGGATCATCTTCTGCTTCGCGGCGGCCCTCCTGTACCTTATCTCTCCTCTGGACATCATTCCTGAGGCTGTCTTTGGATTTTTTGGATTCTTTGACGACATCTTTGTGGTCCTTATCTTGGCTATCTATGTGACAGGCATATACAGGGGCATCGTGGCACAGAGGATGGAATAGAGGCGATGTCAAAAGTCATGAATTCTGCACGGAGCACTGCTTAGCATTTGAAAGAACTTCTAGTGGGACCTGAAGGTTAAAGGAAGTGTAGCATGACGAGACTACGTGTCTTTCTCGTGGCCTGACTCAAAGCCAATCCGGTATAATACGACTACGGACGACGCAACCGCAGCAATCACATGCGTCCCACATACGCGAAATTGTGCAGTTGTCCAAAAGAAGACGAAGATGGCGTTACCCAGTATTTGCCAAGCTACACTCCCTTTAAAGGAAGGCAGATGGAATGAGTGGACCCAATATTCTTCAGGATACTCTAGGCCTATGTAGTAGCTAGGGTCCTTGCCTGTATGTAACACACTGGTTCTACAAACTTCTTACGTCGAAACTTGCTATGCTTCACTACCCCACACTCATCAAATTCCTGCCTTCAACCCTTGATCAAACACTATACCTGAATTTATCTCTAACGACCTGAAACCCAATTGCATAAAGTACAGACTGGAGCAATGATCGTGTCAAACTTGGTGATAATACCAGGCATGGGAGACTCCAAACAGAGAAATGACAAAAGATACTTGACAAGTTGACATACAGTCAACAGCTCAATTATTCATACCCTTACCAAGTTCACATAAAGGAAATGGGGCACTAACAAGGAATACAGCACTTATTAGAAAGAAAAAGGGGCACTTATCAGAGGTTTAAAAAAAAAGGACCAGCCCGCACCTGAGAAAGGGCACTTGTTAAGAGAGGGTAAGGGGCATTTATTACAATGGAAAAGGGGCACTTGTTGATGTAAAAAAGGCACTTATCAGAAAGTGCTAAGGTTCACTTATTAGAAAGAAAAAGGGCCACTTTGGGGATACTTGAAATAGTGGGGGCACTGTGCCTCAGCACCCCCTCCCCTCCTCCATGAGTGCTGCCTCTGGCTTGTTCGTAATAAAAGAAAGGGACAATTTGTGGGAAATAGTAAGTGATAGGTTGAAAGATGAGCAGCAGTCAAGGAGACACATAATCAAAGGCATCTACCTGATTTTTGTTTTCTTTTTCTAAAGTCACATTTATACCTCCACTCAGTTCTTTTTTTCTCAAAATCATGGCCTTATATATCTCTATGGAGTGCCTTAACAATCGTTAAAGACTATATGAAAATGGAAAGCAATGCCGTTATTTACTAATTACATGTTTCAGTTACAGTGTTTAGTGAAACTTGATAGTACATTGCCTAGTTAGCAAGCAATCCTGTGATGTCCTGGGGGGCGTTTCACAAAACTTGTCATCAGTGACAAATGACAGTCTTTGTTAAAGCTACTGAAATCCTTGCTTCTGATTGGTTATCAGCAGATTTGTCAGTGATTTTTGTCATTTGTCATTGAAAAAAGGCTTTGTGAAACGGGCCCCTGGTCTGTTTAACTGCTTTGATGTATATCTCATTGTACACCTGTATATTCATGTTAATGTAGACCATGGGATGACATGGGGAAGAAGGGCTCTGTTTTTCATTTTCGTGGTCCACCTCGTCCACCTAAAAATTTGTGTAGCAGGGTAATTTTTGGTGCTGGATTTAATTTCCATATGCAGACTAGAGCCATCTATATACAGAGTTTGGCCAACTTGGTTTCACTGCGTCACAACATGGCAAATATTCTTTTGTTTTGTGCTTGCCCAACAAAGCAGAAGTCACCATATTGTGTCCAACTCAAACTGGGTTGGCCAAACTCTGTGTATAGATGGCTCTGATGCAGGTCATAGTAAGCTACACTCACACAAGGAAATTAATGCATTGTGTTAATGTTAGATTATACAAATATTGCATGTTCCGTCTTTCAATGTATGAAATTATAAAACCCAACAACAGTTGAAATATAATGGTATGAGGGGAATTATAAATATGGACATATATGTTATATTAACCAAGGAATGCACTTAATATTTAGTTTATTAAATTGAAAGTATTTGTGATCTCATACATTTCTCCATTGAAGTTGTGCCCCCTTGTGTCAGATGTGTACAGATAAGACAATGCTAACAATGGGTAGGCGCAGGGAAGAGACGTGCGAAGTCTAATTCACTTTTATACGCTTTTTACCGTGCAAAAAATGTTATTATATTACGTGCTCGTTGAGTGTCATGTGACACCTTTTAAGCTAATAGGATACCTTTTGATAAATTGACCCGACTTATATTGTTTATTGGCTACGGTATGAGACAACACAATGGCCTTCAGTATCAGTAAGTGGTTCAGCTTAAAGTTGACTTACTAAAGTAAAATGCTTAGATGTGATCTTGAAAAAGATGTTAGCCATTTTACCTAACCAAGCTTGATGCCAACTGAAACACTGGCACAATTCAAGTATTGAATTGAATACTGGCCCAGAACCATTCTTTAAGACACTTTGAATTTGGGTCAGGACTTTCAAAATTTATCATTCTGTTTCATCTGCATGCTGGTACTTTGTATTTATGAGCTGTAAAATATTACTTCTGTTTCAAAGGTATTAATAATAATAATAATAATATTTATTTTTTATATAGCGCTTAATAATACAAATGTCTCTAAGCGCTTTACAAATATACTATTACCCCGGTCATTGGATTCAGTGCTAGCCTGACACAATGTGTGCACAATCTCCACTCCCTGGGGAGTATTCCTGCCAGGCGTTACTTGACGCTCAAAAACTGTTTGACCAACAATGACGGCCGCATCCTACCGGGTACCCATTCGACACCTGGGTGGAGAGTAGCAAGTGCAGGTTAATATCTTGCCATATTAAAATGAAATAGAAAGTGATTTGCAAACAGACAAGTCCACACACATGCTTAATTTCTTTTGGGGAGGGCCTCCTAGAAAAAAAATTATTTGAATTCTGTATGAGTCTTATCATGTTTTCCTTTACATCGTTTAGTGTGAATATCTCTTACAGATTTTGAAATGATTTTATTCTCTAACAAAATACTTTTTTTTGGGGGGGGGGCGGTGATTTTTCCCATGTAATCATGAAAGTTCATTGCCTGTTGACGGCCCGGCCCCCCCACTCAGAGGTCGGAATGACCGCATGCGTGTTGCCAAAATGTCCGGTAAAGGGGTACTTTTCGTGCGACAAAGTCCGGCCCGAGAATTGTAAAAAAAGGGGTGTATTTGACTTTTCACCCGGAGATTTCTTTAAAAGGGGGGTGTTTTTCTTTTTCTCTCTCATGTCTTTGGACTCCTGAGAAATTATTCCGAATTAAGGGGGGTACATTGAGCATTTTTCCTGATTTAGGGGGGTCTCCAAGGCAGGAAAAGCACGCGAAAAGCACGCGAAAGGGGGGTTTGGAAATGTTGGCAGTCCTCAGATAGGGGGTGCTTTCAAAAAAAGGGTACGAGCATATGCGTACCCTAAATAACACTGAGTGGGGGGGCCGGGGTTGACGGTAGTCCAATTTTGCAAAGGACAAATTATAAATATTAAAGCACAAATGAATGACGGTCCTTATATCATCAACAATTCTGTTGGCACTTTGTTCCGTTTAATGTAGTTTTGTAAAGATGAGAGATAGCCTGTAATCATGCCTAAGTCTTTTGGTCCTTTGGTCGCCCGTATAGTTTTCTTTCCTGTGGCCACCATCAAGCTCTAGCTTAAGATGGCAGTCTCCAGCATTTTTCAATTTTGAAATGATTTTTCAACTATGTGGTGTTTCTTTTTAAAGGTATACTTATTTAATTGATTTATATTATGATATGATTATATATGTATTTTGAATGAAATAAAATAAAATAAAATAAACATCTCTTTTGAAAATACACTGTGGTCCAAAAAAGGTAAATTCTTTTGTGTATTTACTTCTTTTGTTCATTTTTAGCTCTTTGTCATTGCTGTTGTAAAAGTATAATTTTCTGGCACTAATTTTCATTAATTTCATTTCTTGTCTCTTTTCACTTTCCATATATTTTCCCACTAGAGTTCTTGTGCATGTTAACTCAACACGGTTGCTAGACTTGTTTATAATCCTAGGAAAGTCCAAGCTAGATGTATTTTGTCCATTACATTAGGCCAAATAAATAAAAATAAAAAATGTTTAGCGCCCTGTTTTTTTCGAAAAATAGGAAGGAGGAGGCCTTTTTTTTCTTTTTTTCTTTCAAAATGGCCGCTCGGTACATTTTTCCTGACAGTCGGGCTATTTTTCAAGATGGCCGCCGACATTTTTTTTTTTTTTTTCTTTAAAAGAAAAAAAAAAATCAAAAAATCAAATAATCAAAAAATTTCAACAAAAAAAAAAGAAGAAAAATAAGGAGGCGGCCCCCAAAAAGGAAGCGGGCGGGGACGCTCAACATGTAATTTTTTTTTAATGGCCTTACCATTATCATATAAACTTTGAGTATATTCTATTATTCTGAAGCTTAGATCAGACAAAATACGAAAAAGAATGACAGATTTAATGTGAATTCATGTCCAGAACTCCTCAATATGTATGGGACACCAAATAACCAAGGACTTGCCCTCTTATTTATATATTTTTTTATGAAAGGAAATCAACCTGGGTTTATCCTAAAAAGGGAATACATAACTCATATTTCGTCTGTGTAGTTTGTCAACAAGAGTTTGCCCTCATTGGATGAGTACAGTGTAACTTCTTATTATTAGTTTATAATAATTACTGAGTATAGTTGGTCAACAGGAGTTAGCCACCTTCTAATTATTTATTTTACAATTTTCAAGGACAATTTGTGCCTTAAATACTTTTCATATATGGCATACATTTGTATTGTGTAACCATACTCTGCAGGCCCGCAACTTTTTAGTTTTAGGAAACTATTCTTCAGAATTAGATTCCAGTCGTCTTGACACCAAGATACTCAAGAAAAGACAAACGCATGAAACAAAATGAGTTGTGGAATATTTGTAATAATAGACGTTCAAAGCAGATTCGGAGCTAGGAAACAAGGGGAAAATATAAAGAGGTAAGTTTCCCTACTTTTAACTCGCAAAATGATAATGAATTTGCATTTCTTTTTTTTTATTTGAAGCATAATTCACGGTCATATTTTTACATAAAAATGTAAAAATGGCATCTTTGATATAAACTGTATGTGCTATATACAGCTTTGAACAAGAACTGATATCCCTTGTGTAATATTATTATACACATCGTACATGCACTATATATATTAATGAAAAGGAATGTAATTGCAAATTGTATTCCCTTATATTTTAGTGCATGTCAAAGATATACAGGTTCCACGAAGAAATTTGCGGAGTGTGATGATATTATAACATTTTGACATAAGAAAGTACTGTTTCTGAACTTGTCATCGAGTAGGAAAAAAGGGAATCCTTGAAATAAATAAAAAATTTAAAATAATCAAAATTAGGAAGTATGAGTTGATTTTGAACATGAGTTCTGTGAACTGGATTCCTAGTGTGTTACATCTCTTAAATTATAGATGCTGTATCATCATAATTTGAGGTCAAATAATTTATGTATGTGCCATTGCCACCATTCATATTTCCTTGCTTTCCATAGCCTACAGAGATTTAACTTTTTTTTGTTATTACTTTTTTTACCAAAAGATGAATAGTATTTGTGAAATGTATATCTAAAATGTGTTATTTTTAGTTCGTTGATACATTCGTGCAAGGCCACGCTTATTTTCAGGTGTGATCACAATTTTGTCTTTCTTTAGTTTTTTCTTTGAACAATAATTGATCGCAATGTATTTTTTTTCTAAATATGCAATTCATTTACTATATACATTTTTGAATGCTTATTAATAAACGAGGAAATCTTTAGGAAACAATAGTATCTGTTGTGTGTTTGATAGCTTGCTGTAATATCAAAGCTTAACATTTTTTGTTGCCTATGGCAACCCGCAATAATTACCGGCGAAATTAACACTAGCTTAACACTAGCCAATCAAAATAATGCTTTAAAGGTGAGAGAATTTATTGCCAATTTAAAAGCCTGGGTAAGCACTAATTTTTGTTTTCCTTCACGGGGGGGGGGGGGGGGACATCCTTTTTTCCTCAACAT